AAAATGAAATATGAATAAAAATTGTCAAGATTTTTGCAACAGGAAAGACTTTCTTTTCACACATTTCTCAATTGCCGGAGACTGCTTGAAAAAGAATGCTACATATTACAGTAATTATAAAAGAAAATCACGAAACATTAACAGATATGACAGCTGATCAAAACAGCAAAAAAATTCTACAAACAAAAGTTGCTTCTATATTAGCTTAGATCCACACCATTAGCTCACCTAATCAATAAAAAAAAAGCTGGTTATTAAACTGAAAATCATAAGAGCATTGAAAGATTGTTTTTTTTTTGTGCATAAATGGTTAGTAACTCTTTTTTGGTTTTGTTCTATACTGATTATAATAACGACTTCTCATTTGAAGAAAATGTATTTTTTCACATATTTATATACTCATTTTTACTTTTAACTTATTTCTACGATTTGGTATAGTAAAAGCACTTGGTTTGTGTACATTCCAACAGTTTGTTAATGTACGTACTACTTTTTGAAAAAGAGTTAGCTTTTGAGGAACTTAAGCGTCTCTCAAAGTTGTTTTCTACGTATTCTTTGCGCTATTCTTGTCATATACGGTTTTCGCGCTTAATTCCTGTTTTTGACTGAAAAAAAAAAACAGCTTTTCAAAAATTAGAAAACAATTTGTAAGCTGTCAAGGTTTTTTTACTTGGTACCTATATCGGTTTTGAAAGCTTTTTGCATACTTCTTCTGCCCACCTGCAAACAAAGAGAAGCTGGAAATATCTAGTCCCAAGAAGTAACTGGCATTTTCCCAGTAAAACTACGGGTCACAAAGTGATAGCTTTTCTTAAAATCAAGCATGATTTTTGACTATTTTTTGTTTTCAAATTTCTTCTTTTTCAATAATATACCCTTCTTTAGGTTTTTCGTAGGACATGCTATCTAACGGTATCGATATATTTAGGACATGACTTCAGTTTTGCCTAAAACATTAAGTTTTTTATTCTTACCAATAAAGTATGCAATGTCATAAGTCAGTCTGTTGATACTTGCCGCACCTCGTTGGGACCAATAACTGTTTACCATTAGCCTCATAACCTTACAAAAAAAGCGTCTTCTTCATAATCAAAAAGGGAAATTAAGCACGAAGACTGCATGTAGCACCAAAAAAGCACAGAAACTGACCTTGAGAAAAAATTCGTTTTTCAAAGTTAGCTCTTTCTAAAGAAGTAATACGCGTATTAGAGAAGTGTTGAATTTGTTCAATTCGGGGAATTCCAGCAGCTAATCCAAAAATTAATTGAATAATTAAGAGAGAAAATAATTGAGAGATGGATATATAAATATATATATGAAACATGATAACTCAAAATGTGTGCTTGAAAAATTGGCTTTGATTACGCTTTGCCAAAGAAAAAAACCTGAATTTTTTTTTGTTTGAACTGTTAAATAACAGTTTTGGTAAAATTAAGAACAAAAAAATTAAAAAAAAAAGAAATTTTCAGCTAAGACAAAGTTTAAAAACAATTAAGTATATTTTCCTTTTTTTTGCTCCAGATCTTAAAAAAAAGTAGAGAAGAGAAATTAAGAACCGAAACAAGAAGAATTATTGCAAGAATAAAAAGAGTTAAAAATTTATATTTAAAATAATGGCGAAACCAGTTGATACAGGCGAAAGGAAAATGCTGAAGACTATTTCCAAATACCGAAACTAATGTTTGACTGTAATCTTTTATAATACTTAACAAATACAATTTGGTTCTATCATTATTCAAAGTATATCGAGAAAGTCGAGACACTTTTTTCTACTTCAAGTAAAAAAGCTGCGTAAAGTTTTAGCTGATGGTCGACCTTGATCTCTTTATGGAATTTCCGCACTGTATTTTGAATTGATAAACTTATAACCTATTTAAAAATTTGATCGACGTTCTGAAGATGCTGAAAAAACCTTCCAGGAACTCAACAATTTCAAATAAGTTCAAAGAAGGGCTATTCTTTGCCTTGTTAAACGTTTGCGAATAAAGAAAGAGTAAATTGCAACAATTATTTTGCGTTCTAGTGCCATTCACACTTCAAATTTCAAGACCGCCAGAGTCTGAGTTTCTTGAACATACCATTTTTGGAATTCTCGCAAGGAACCAGAACCACAACCACCAAAAAAATTAAAAAGAAACTACGCCTTACTTTGTCTACTTGATACACAGACCCAGCACCGATTTGTTTTCAATCATTACCAGATGGTCAAGTTCACCAATAACCAACTAATTAATACACTAGAATTTGCAAGATTAGTCGTTTTTTGTTACTCTATTATAAACTACTTTGAAGTTGTTATCCAATACAATACCGAATAAAAAGTTATAAAGAAGAAAAATAGTTAAACATTGTTGACTGTTAATCAATTTAATTGAAACAATTCATTTAAAAAAAAAAACATTTAGAGATAGAGCAAAAAAGTTTGGAATGATAGACACTGTAATAAAATTTGCAAAACATATCTTACTGTGATTTACAATAACACGTCCTAAATGAAGATAGCTATATTTTGATTTTGTTGATTTAACGAGAATATGTTTATTATGAAAAACAAAATAAAATGCAAGCAAAAAAAAAGCGAGTAAATTCCGCTATTATTTTAATGCAAAAACTGTGCTCTAGTTTTGAAAGAAACTGTTAAACTTTTGCTGAAAAAGTGCAAAAACTTTTCACGGATAATTGCACTTTGCAGACGTAGTTTTGATGTGTTAGAGGATTTCGCTGTTTTTAGAAAAAAATTCTTTCTCTGTTACACTATTTTGACACAATAATGCCCAAA